GTTTTTTTTAGCTTTATGTTAATACGACCAAATGGAGTTGAAGATTCTACCCTCCAGTTATCTTTTGAAAATTAGGGAAGTGTTTACCCATTTGTAATTTTCCAATTCTCTCTCCCAAGACTTCTCCAAGTCTCCCCATGTCACCAGCAGTAGTGAACATTGCTCCTGTGGGCTCCAGGTGCCCTGGGAGGTGTTGTCCATTTGCTCCTGGACTCACATCCTCTGTCTCTGGGGAAATATTGGTTGGATTCCCTCTCTTTTGCTAGAGTTTATCATAATCCTCACAGGGAATGTGGAAACCCAACTAGTTCCAAGGAAGTTGCTTTCTCTCCATGTTTTTAAAAAACATCCCCCTGTTATGTAAACAATCTTCCTTCTTCTTGACCCCAAATTTCCGTAATAATGAACTGGGAAATTGTTTATGATGAATTAAGTGAAAAAAGACCCTCAAGAGGTTATGAAGCAGAATTTATGTCCTGCTTTTAAATTTGTTTAAAAAAATTAAGATCAAAGAAATATACTCTGGTAAATATGGAATAAAAGAATGAATTGCTGTTCTCAACATGGCTACGGCTTAGCTGTTTAAGGTATTCAGGGTATTGATAATTTTATTTTATTTCCTATTCCTCATACTTTTTTGCATCACATATAAAATTAACATGGTTTATTTTAAAAGTCAGGAAACTACTGTTAACTTTTTTTTTTTTTGTATATTGTTCTTAGATCATAAGCTCTCTGAAGGCAGAGCTGGTAGCCTACCGCAGTGCATTCTCCACCAATAATAGGTTAAGGCTGACACATGACAGGGCTGCACATCCCAGCCTTCCTTGACGATAGATATGACCATGTGATTACAATGAAATATGAGCCAAGGTGATACATGCCACCTACGAGCTGGGCTTCTAGGAGTGGACATGTGCCTTGTTCTCTCTCTTTCTCCTTTTGCTGATTGGATGCAGATGACAGCAACACTCTAGGGGACAAAGGACTTTGTGTTCGTGAATCATTATATATGGGAGAATAACCTGCCCACCAGAACAGCTGTTGTAGGAAATAATCCTACAGAAGCTTCGCCTTAATTTGTCTCTGTTTCTCTAGAGTCTAGCTGGGATCTGGCCCAGAATAGATGCTTAGGGTGAGTTTGTTCATCAGAACTGAACTTCAGCTTTCCTGACATCTGCATCACAAAGCTATACATAAAGTATCACAACTTTTTATTGCTCCCTTGAGCTAATATAGTACTATTTCGTGTAAAATGCAAAAAGCTTGCAATAGCATGTTTCCATGTACTCCCTCATCTTTTGTGTGGTTGTTTTCATATATGTTCCATCTATGACTGTATGAACTGGAGATGGTATAAACTCCAGTTCAGAGAAGTACAGCATGACACTTTTTGCTTTAAACAGTTACAGTCTTTTAAAGAAATAAGACAAAGCACATAGTTTATATTTGACCACATATTAGCCATTAATTGTGCCCTTCTTTCCTTTCCTCCTTTTCTTAGATCTGTGTTCTCAGCCTCAAAAACATCCTTTAGAATTTCTTGTAGTGCAAGTCTTCTGAATGATTTCGGCTGTCTTTAATCTGGAAATAATTTTATTTCATCTCATATTTTTAAGGATATTTGGGCTAACATTTTCTTTCTTTTAGCACGTTAGAGATCTCTTTCCATTGGCTTAGGACTTCCATTGTTTCTGATAAAACTTCTGCCTAATTTTGTTTTTGTTCCCTAATTTGTAATTTCTTCTCTCTGGCTGTTTTTAAGATAATTACATATTTTTAAAATTTTTAGGAGCTTGACTGTGATGTGCCTAAGTGTAGTTTTCTATCCATCTTGTCCTTCTTGGACTTTACGAAGCTCACTGTATCTGCAATTTACTGATTTTCAACAAACTTTGCAAGTTTCAAACATTTTTTTTTTCAATATTTTTTACTCTTCTCTTCTCTTTCTCTTTTTGTTTTTTTCCCTCTCTGGGACTCCAGTTATTCATATATTATACCATTTAATATTCTCTCAAAGGCAACTGAGTGTGTGTCTTTGTCTTGCCTTTTTTCTCTCTGCCCTTCAGGTTGAATAATTTCTGTTGATCAATCTTCAAGTTCACTAACGATTTTTTTTTGAATTTTGCAGTCATCGATCTGCTGTTGGTCTATCAGTAAAATTTTCATTTTAGATATGCTTTTCACTTTACATCCAAATATTATATTTTCTATTTACTTCCTAAAATTCCCCCCTTTTGATTATTATGGCTATCTTTTCTTTTAAGTCCTTGAATATATTTCTAATAGCTGTTTTACAGAACTGGTGTGATAATTCCAACATCTGCTTATCTTGGGGTCTGTTTCTATTGATAGTTATTTTTCTTCTTATGGGTCACATTTTTTCTGTTCCTTCAGATTTCTACTAATTTTAGTTTTATGCTGGATGTCACATTAAAGGGATGTAGCATTATGCTTTCTTCCTTCAAAAGATGATGAGTTCTTTCCTGTTGACAATTGAATTACCAGAATATCCTTTTGATTCTGCCAGGCTGGCTTTTATTCTTTGTTAGGGCTCTTCTAATCCAAGCTTGAACTTGTTCTAGTTCTTGGCTCCTACTCTAGGCTGCAGTTCTTATTTCTCAGATTTGGCATTTCCAGAGTTTAGGATGAAATTCCAAGATGCTCAGCGATGTCTCTCCACTCTGGATGGTGTGGAACGTCAACATTCCTAACATTGCCCAGTCTCTATCACTCCATCCAGTTCTCAGCCTTGGAGCAGGTGATCTCTGCTAGGTCTCTTGGGGTCTTACCCCATGCACATACAGGCAGTCCTTCGCCAAGGACAGACACAGTGAATTCCCACAAAACATACTCTTTCATGCCACTGCCCTGAAAATTCTAACCCCTTAGGAAGCCTGGAACTCTCTGACTTAAACCTTTTTTGTTCAAGGATATTACTGCCCTTGTGGGGGTCCACCTCCCTGTACCACAGCAGGAAAGCACCCTTAAGAAGAAAGCCAGAGCAACTGTGGGGCTCACCTTGTGGTCTTATGCCTCCGGCTGTTGAATACCTGAAAACAGTTGTCTCATATCTTACCCTATTTTAGAATTGCTTTCAGTGGGAGCTTATCTCCTGTCGTAACTGGAAGCACAAGCATAATTGCTATTTTTTGATATTTTTTAAAAATCACAGAATCTCACATTTCCCCTCAACAGAAATACACGTTTACACGAGCAGTTCACAATTGTTCTGGTTGCTTTGATGTCTTAGCATGGGCAACTCTTTCAGTAATGATAATAACAACTCACAGTGGTACAGTCATTTTTAATATTTAAAAATCCTCTCGTAAATATTGCTTGATTTGTTCCTTACAACATTGCATTAGTCTTAGCCTACAAATAAGACCCAGACTTAAAGATAACTCCTTCAGTGTAGTAATGAGAATTTCAACCCAGATTTTCAACCTAAGAGCCCAGACTCTCCTAACCTACATTTTAGTCAACAAAAGCAGGTATCTCCTTAGGGAAGAGTCTTACATCAGATGCTGAGAAAATTAACATATTTCGCCATAATGGCACGCACTATAGCATAACAGCTCTTGAATATAGTATAACCATGGATCTTAATTTGTTGCTTTGAAAAAATGGAGCCCACTGTGGCTTGACAGGGTGATACCTGTGTTGCTGTACCCACCTGCTGCACATCTCAGGATGACCTGTGGTGCCTTCCTCTGCAGAGCCCCTCCAGTTTCCATTCTAGCTTCCTTTCTACCCATGGCCAATGGAATGAGACATGAGAACTTGAAAAGGGATGTTGGTACCTCTGACTCACGTTGGGGAGTGGGCGTGGGGTTGACATGAGTATGTGACTAGATCTTAATCTGGGCAGGTCTCCTAGTTCAAAAAAGTACAGTGTGACACTTTTGGCTTTAAACAGTTGCAATCTTTTAAAGACATTAAGACAAGAAAAATTATATAGTTTATATTGGCTCACATATTAGCCATTAATAGTACTCTCTTTTCCTTAGATCTGTGTTTCCTTCCGGTCTTTTCCCATTAGCCTCAAAAACACCCTTTAGAATTTCTTGTAGTGCATATCTTCTGGAGATGAATGATTTCAGCTGTCATGTATCTGGAAATAACTTTATTTCATCTCATTTTTTAAGAGTAATTGGGTTAACAATTTTTTTCTTTTAGCATGTTAGAGATCTCTTTCCATTGTATTAGGACTTCCATGGTCTCTGAGAAAACTTCTGCCTAATTTTGTTTTTGTTCCCCAATATATAATTTCTTAGGTGATGAGCTAGCTTGAAGCATCAGGCATTCATGTTAATCACTGCTCTTCCTCATGTGACACAGGGAGCTATTGTGTTTGAATGGACATGCTGGCTGATCCTACATGGATAATGCTTTGGATAGAGGATATGAAACAATTCAACCTAGTAAACCCAAAGAAATATGAAGCTTGATACTGAATTCCAGAGAACTTTATTTCATTACTTTAGCTTTTCTTTTAACATCACTTTGATATTACCCACTCTTGGCCATCTGATTTTAAAAGACTCCCTTGATCAGTGGTACAAGTTAGGTCTGAGGATGGAGGAGGAAGAAATCCAGATGGGAAGCTTCCCTCTGGACCCAGAAGCTCAGGGAAGAAGATGATGAAGCCATGCAGTGTCCATGGATGTATTTAGACACACCTCTAGTTAAATTCACCCAAACACCATTATTATCTTTATTTTAGCAAAGGCTCAGAGAGAAGGGTGGGACCCAGGAAAGGAGGCAAAGTCCAGCCCAATAGCACGGGGATGAACTCTGCATCCACTCTTATTAGCTTTCCCTCTTTCTCCTTGGCCCCCACCCAGCACTGCCTGACTGTGCTGCCCTAAGCGGCCTTTCTACAGGGCCCAGGTCACCCACTAGAACTCAGGCAGCCCTGCTGATGGCCGGGAAGTGGGCAGAATCAGGCAACTGCAGACTCTCCACTTCTGCTTTCTCCAGGAAGTGAGCAGACACCCAGCTCAAGTGATTCATAGTGAAACGCTGTTAAAGACTGAAGGTTCTGGGCTGGGTCCTCTTCCCCTGAGCTGGAGGGGTTGTGGCTGGGGATGGGGGCTTCCATGCCATCCAAAGTCTGCTGGCCCTGACTGACATACTCCAGGTAGGTCACTTTGCTCTTGGCCACACCAAGCCAGGCCAGAAGTGAGCATGGGGGTCCCATCTTCCAGGGTAGGCCGACTGGCCACCTCCTGGAGAGCTGAGCTTGGGAGTCCATGTGAGCACCAGTGCCTGATCTGGGTTCGTGGATGTGGGAGAGGAGGTAAGATGAGGAGCAGGAAGCATGTGCAGGGCCACTCCAGTGTCTGGGTCTGCCGGGGTGTCTGTCTGTCCCTGTTGGGTTGTGCCAAGCCAGGGCAGGCTCAAGCACTGTACCTCTTCCTTAGGTCAAGCCTGTTCTCAGGGTTCTGCTAAGAAAAGTAACCTGTCCCACCTAGGAGAGGCTGGACCTGGGCCTGTCTGTGCCCATTGTCCAGGGATGGAGAGAGGGGGTTGGCTGTGAGATTCCCCTGCCCAGCCCCCACGTGGCGGGGGCCACTTCCGACGGGTCACCAAGAGAGCTGGTTCTGTCCTGGCCCTGTGGTCATTCCTGGGGGGGCTGGTAAGTAAGTGCCCCCTGAGGGCCTCCCATTCCTCATCTGAATTATCACATCAAACTTGAGAAATGTCAATATTTTCTGCATCAGCAGGACCACCTGGCTTGAGAATGAGCTCTTCTTTCCCCACCTAAAATTGCACCGTGTAGAACGCTGCCCCAGTCCTTTGGGCCAACCTCTCTGAAGCGGGAGGAACTGATCTGGCAACTAAGAATTTCATGTATTACCGTTTCCAGGGAAAGTTTCCATTTTAATTTGATTTTCTGCATAGTCATCCTTTGAAGTGTTCAAGGAATATTTATTGAGAGACCGTTCCTGCCAGGTGCTGTTTGAGACAGTAGGGTCAGTGCACAGGGTGGGTGGTGCTTGGTGCCATGGGTGCCAGAGGGTTGGAGCTCAGAGGGCAGGGAACAGGGGTCAGGAGGCCCCAGAAGGCACATGCCTTCTAAGTGGAGACCTGAAGGAAGGGAAGGCCTGAGCTGTGTCCATTTCTGAGAAGCGTTCTTTGAGGGGCGGATCTAAGGAGGCCAAGGTGCAGAGGAGGAGGCCAGAGTGGCAGACCAGGAGGAGGAGGGTGCCAGGTGACCCGACCAGAGAGTGGTGGGGTGGGGTCAGGTCTGGAAGGGTCTTCCTGTGCAGTGTGAGGACCTGCGCTGTAGCCCCTCAGACTTGGGAACCTTTGAAATGTTGAGTGGACAGAAAACAGGACTTGAAGAACGTATATACGTATAAGGAATGAAAATGGCATGAGCCCTGTGTGTGCAGCCACCTTAGTGTTTTTTTTTTTACAGATTATCAGCATCATTGAAGTTGTCTATGTGCTTGTCTCCTTCTTTGGAGAAAATGGTTGTCCTGAATTTTGGGCCTACTTGTTCCTGTATAGTTCGACCTTGTCTATTTAAACGGCTAAATATGTGTTTTTTGGTTTTGCATGGTTTTGAGCTTTGTAAATAGGAATTAAATATTCTTTTAAGACTTGCTTAATTTGCTCAGAATTATGTTTCTGAAATTCCTTCATATTGTTGCATGTGCTTTGAATTCATTCATGTTTATGGCTGTATAGTATTCTGTTACATGAATATACCTATGTGTACTCCTCCAATATACTGCCAGTGGGCACTTGAGATATTTCTACTTTTTTTTTTGTATTATAAGGTGCCAGGTGCTGCTGGCACTTGCAAGTGCTGCCAGGACTCTCCTTGTACCTATATCCTGGGGCATGTGTGCAAGAATTTCCTACGGTATAAACCCAAGAAGTAGGATTGGTGGGTTGTAGGGTATACAAATCTTTAGCCTTCCTGGATGATCTCAAAACTTTTTCCAAACCAGATGTACCACTTTACCCACCCATCAGCATATGTAAAAGTTTCCGTGGCACCGCATCTTCACCAACATTTGATACTGTTGGAGTTTTGATTTTTACCAGTTCCGTGAAAATGAAAAGCCATCTATGTTTTGAATCTGCATTTCCTGAATTACTAAGGTTGGACGTCTTTTTATATGCTCATTGACCATTCTAAATTCTTTCTCCTGGTCAAACATTTTTTTTCTCTATGAAGGCATTTGTCTTTTATCCTGTTGGTTTTCTGTAATTCAGTACGTATTTGGATGTTAATTCTTTGTTATTTATGTATGTTGTAAATATTTTTCTCTTGTTTCTGCCTTGTCTCCTTATGGTCCTTGTGATTTCTATTAGTGATTGAATTTCTTAATTTCAAATAAGCTTAATTTATCCATACGTTCCTTTATGATATGTACGTGTTATGCATTGTCTGAGAGATTCTCCTCTACCCTAATTTCATAAAATTATTCTCTTACATGATTAAAATTTTAAAAATAATTTGCCTTCCATATTTAAGTCTTTAGTCCTACCTAGAAATGATTTTTCTGTGTGGTGTGAGATAAGGGGGTAATATTTTATTTTATTTTATTTTTCCTATATGGATAACCAAGAGTCTTCACTCCATGAATCAAAAAGGGCATTTTTCAGCCACTAATCTACAACAGCTCTGTTGTAAATCAAGTTGTCATGTATAGTGGGTCTGTTCCTGGGCTGTCTCTTCTGTCAGTTTGTTTATCTCTTTGCCAACACTAAATAATATATTTTTTAGCATTTTTATTGATTTCTAATCATTTTACAATGTTGTGTCAAATTCCAGTGTAGAACACAATTTTTCAGTTATACATGAACATATATATATTCATTGTCACATTTTTTTCTCTGTGAGCTACCATAAGATCTTGGATATATTTCCCTGTGCTATACAGCATAATCTTGTTTATCTATTCTACAATTTTGAAATCCCAGTCTATCTCTTCCCACCCCCTACCCTACCCCCTTGGCAACCACAAGTTCGTATTCTGTGTCTGTGAGTCTATTTCTGTTTTGTATTTATGCTTTGTTTGGTTTTTTTAAGATTCCACCTATGAGCAATCTCATATGGTATTTTTCTTTCTCTTTCTGGCTTACTTCACTTAGAATGACATTCCCTAGGAGCATCCATGTTGCTGCAAATGGCGTTATGTTGTCAGTTTTTATGGTTGAGTAGTATTTCATTGTATAAATATACCACTCCTTCTTTATCCAGTCATCTGTTGATGGACATTTAGGCTGTTTCCATGTCTTGGCTATTGTAAATAGTGCTGCTATGAACATTGGGGCGCAGGTGTCATCCTGAAGTAGGGTTCCTTCTGGATATATGCCCAGGAGCGGGATTCCTGGGTCATATGGTAAGTCTATTTCTAGTCTTTTGAGGAATCTCCATACTGTTTTCCACTGTGGCTGCACCAAACTGCATTCCCACCAGCAGTGAAGGAGGGTTCCCTTTTCTCCACAGCCTCTCCAGCATTTGTCATTTGTGGATTTTTGAATGATGGCCATTCTGACTGGTGTGAGGTGATACCTCATTGTAGTTTTGATTTGAA